TTATATTAAAATAAAAAAACTTAAAAAAAATTATTAAGCTTAAAATATTAAAATTTTATAATAATAACCTAAAAATACTTTAAAAATTCTTAATTTAACTTAAAATATATTATTAATTTTATTTAAATAAATTAATTAATATATAAATAAAAGTATTATATATTAAAAAATATATAATAAATATTATATTTATATAATTTAAATTAATTATATATGAGTAAAATTAGCTTAAAAAAAACAAAAAAAAAGTTTAAGTTAACTTAAATTAGCTTAATAAGTACTTAATAAGCACTTAAAAAGGTAATTTTAGCTTAATTAGCAACAGGTAATTAGCGCTTAAGTTAGTATAGCTTATAGTAGCGGTGCGGGCTGTCTGGATTAACGTTTTGTTACATAAATGTCTTAATATCTTACTCTTCTTGTAGATATGTTTTAAGATAAAGAACGTATAGCAGTCTCTAGTTTAGTTTACATGGGATAATAGAAATGCCGATTTTAAACCTTGGCGTAATAATAGCTATTGCCTATAGATGTAGGCCATGAGTTATAATGCAATCTGAAAGCCGCTGATGCTGGCTCATCCTTCACCTCAATATGCATCCCATGTACCATGTACGTTCATCATACGGAGTACCCCTAATTCATTTCACCTCTCAATCGAGGAAAGATGGGGAGCAAGTTACCCCCAAGAAGCCAGTACTGTTCAACGAATGGTGAGCACTTAAAAGGCTGAGCACAACATCATGCGCCATACTTGGTACTTACACCATACCAACAGTAAGACACATAGTCATACTTCTCGTCATAGCTCGAAAGAAAACCACCAAGACACCGTAGACCTAGGGCGGCAAATACAATACTGGCAACGGCTGGTGGTTGCCACAACGCAATTAGACCAATCGTCCAAGCTACAATCAAAGCTGCAAGCGACCAGCGAGCGGCTGGTTGGGAGAGCAGCAGCGGAATGGTCTTGCGGCCTCTGACAGTATCGGCCGTGCGATCGCGGAAGTCTTGAGCGTGTCCCTATGTGGCTTTTGCTCGCATCAACTACCAGAAATAATGTGTTGCGTAGACTTACAGTGGTTGCAAAAATGGCACCTATCATGAACACAGCGATTGCTTTCAGACCGTACAACTCTCTGCCATGATCTTAGAAGCAGTTAGCACGCAACCGCATTGTCGTCAAAAGGATAAAAAGAAGCAAAAAACAGAAAGGTGTAGGTAAAATTAAGTGTCGTACCAAGTATGATGGTGGTACCCCAGCAGTAACATGCGAGACCTATAGCTCCGATAACATTTTTTACGACCGGTATCGCAGCCAGACCTCCCTCGTTGTATATGAGAATTGCCACAGAGTAGGTCAGAGTACACGGTATCGTTTTCATAGTAAGTGCTGCAGCCCACATCAACGCAAATAGGACGTAATACAGAACCGCTGCATTCTCGGGTGATATACGACCGGATGGCAGGGGACGGTGCGACTTTGCTATTCTGTCTTCTTCCACGCCGTCGATCTAGTCGGTTCGGATCAGTACAGATGGCATGGTGTATCGGGGGTAAACGCTTGCGCTGACCTGATTCTTAACCTACATACATGTCAATGATATGTACGTCATCCTTGCACGGAATGATTCGAATTTTACCTGGAACGTGAGCAAATGTAGCTGATTCCATATGAAGCCCTTCGCGATTACGGACAAGCTTGCTGGTCCTGCGAGCACAAGGGCAACGGCCATCTGCATGGCTGCTTAGCAGTACGCGGACAAAACTGTTTCATCATACATACCGATGGCAAAGCTGCGACCGGGATGTCCGATTTCCCAAACAAGTACAGAATTTTTAAAGCTTCGAAGGGATGAGTCCTCATCGCTACTAAATTCTTCATGGTTGCCACTGCCAAGGTCAGACACACGTGGTGGTTTGTACAGAGAGGCGAAATACAGAGAAAGAAGACATAAGATGTCAGGCTTTAGTGGTAAGATTGCACGCGCTCGCTTAATAGTACGATGGGAAGTCTATTGCCTCTGTGACGTCTGTACTCGCATATTTTGGTACCCAGATATGCCGCCCAGGTAGCATCATTATTTTTCTTAGCAAATGCTCAGCCCCAGATTAATTTTACATTAGGAAGGTTCCGAATCACGTGTATACTTGCCGAGCCTCTCTGATTAAACACATGTATGGCAGGTTTTGAAGTATCGCCGAAACTTCGTAAAGGTGGCCCATCCGTGCATGTAGTCCACAATGTTATGTAAATCTCCTGCATGGTCACAATATTTCTCTATCAGCGGGGTTCCGAAATCTTGCTATTAAGAGTAGGCACTTGTATCATACGAAGATTATTTTCGGTCAAGTAGCTGGGGTTACGATGGGGTAGTACCTTGGCAGATAGTATCCGCCGTAAACGGCATTTTTTCCCCATCAAGCAAGTTCCGAGTTGGTCTTACTTGCCTTCTCAAAACAGAAGATGTAGGTGGAAAGTTCCGGAGCGTGTTTAAAGCTGTCGCCGTTTTGGCCTTGTCATGTTGAAGGGACGTCTCCCCACTTCCTATGCCAACAAACTTTCAGTGAAAAATCTTGCAATTACTACGGATGAGCGACAAAACAAAAACTCCCGTTGCCGTTTAAATCCTGAAAGACCAAGTCCACTGCCCTGAGATACGATAAATAATATCTGTAGCAGAAGTATACCACTACGAGGGATCCTGCTGGGCTGTCGCCTGAATGAAGTTTCATCGTTAGGTTATAATGACTCCCAGTTTGCTCGGCCAAGTTGGCCTCATGGCTTTGGTAGCGTGTCTCGGTCTACTACTATGTCAACGACTATTGAAGCGGAAGGCAGGCTATCGCCTTCCTCCTGGGCCGAAGCCTCTGCCTATTGTCGGCAATATCCTTGATCTCCCGCCGAAAGGAGAGCCAGAGTTCTTACATTGGTTCAAGCACAAAGACACTTATGGCCCAATTAGTTCCATCACTGTAATGGGCCTAAATCTCATCATCTTTCATGATAAAGAGGCTGCACATGCGGTAATGGGGAAAAAAGCCCAGAAGACATCTGCAAGACCGCAGCTCAATTTTGCTACGCTATGTGGTTTCGAAAACTTCCTGATAACCCATCAGTATAACAATACATATCGCAAGCATCGAAAAATGGTCCACCAGGAGATTGGTACTAAGTCACTGTCCGCCGGTTTCCAAGGCACTCAGGAAAAGGAAGCTCTGCACTTCACCCTACAGACGTTGCATGATCCTGACAACATACTGAAACATTTAAAACGGTAAGCCATCACCACTTGCCCCTTTTCCTTTCCTCCAATAAGTGATGAATTGAGTTACAAAGCTGACAGTCTATCAGTCTGGCGGCCGCTGTTGTATTGAGAATTACGTATGGATATTCGGTGGAAAGGAATGGGCCAGATCCGCTCGTGGATGTAATTGAGCACGCGATGGAGAATCTGTCCCGTGCGTTTGTACCACTTTCTTGGGCGGTCGACGCTGTCCCTGCCATCAAGCATCTTCCTGACTGGTTCCCTGGCACGTCGTACAGGAAGACGGCCAAAGAGTGGAAAGGAATCAACGAGGCCGCCGCAGAGCTACCATACGATTTCGTCAAGCGGCAGATGTCACAAAAGGCCCACCGGCCGTCGTACGTTTCTAACCTACTGGAGAAAAACATGATCAAGACCGGTAATGAAACCAGCATGACATTGGATGACGAAGAAGCTATCAAATGGACTGCTGTCAGTCTCTACGCCGCAGGCTCGGATAGTACAGTCGCCATCATAACAAGTGTCATCTGTGCCCTGGTCATCTTTCCAGAAGTGCAGCAACGGGCGCAGGAAGAAATTGATCGTGTGGTTGGAAATGATCGGCTCCCTACTTTCGACGACAGACAGAATCTACCTTATATTGACGGCATCGTGAAAGAAGCTTGGCGATGGAACCCCGTGGGACCGATGGGGTTGACACACAAATCCGAAGAAGACATTGTGTATGGGGAGTACATGATTCCCGAGGGCTCTTACTTACTTCCCTCTCTCTGGTGGTTCTTGCATGACCCAAAAGATTACTCGGATCCACACACTTTTAAACCGGATAGGTATATGGCGCCACTGAACGAGCCTGATCCTGGTGATCTCGCCTTCGGCTACGGGCGACGATCTTGTGCCGGCCGTTTTTTCGCCGACGCAAGTGTTTACATTACCCTTGTGCAATTGCTTGCCGTTTTTCGAATTCGAAAGGAGAGGGATGCAAACGGAAACGAGATTCCCGTAAAGCTGGAAGCTATTCCAGGAATGGTCAATCGTCCCAAGGAGTTTGAGTTCAAGGTCGAGCCACGGAGTCCACGTCATGTCGAGCTTCTCCGTCGCATCGAGGGAGAGCAGGAGCCAGAATTCAGCGACGCAGGCCGTCTCAGTACCAAGGCCGGGTAAGGAATGATAGATCTCATAAAGACGATAGTAGTTGTTGTTTGCTACGGCATCATGCGATATAGTAGCTTACCACATTTCAGTTTAGCATATGAGCTGCAAACGGCTCTCTTTCTTTTTGGGTACCACAGAGTCTGCGATTTTCACTTTCCATTGTACCACAGAAAATATTTTATCGCACCGCTTGTCTAGAATGCAGCCTTTCGTTTTCTCTGTTCCAGACTATTTGCAGCTGATCGTCCTTTTGCAATCATTTGCAAGTCGCCAAAAACCCTTCTTACATCGTCGACAGCAGCCTGAAGAAGTTTGAACGCCTTTGTTCCAGTCTTAATTTCATCATGTAAATGTTCTAGAAGCCGTTGAAGATCGTTGAAATGCATTGTGACTATGGTAAATACAAACTCAAATGTCAACGTCGTTGCCCTAACTGTATATTTGCCCACATGGATACCCGCGCTCAGTGACGGAGGAGGTACGTCGATGGCTGATGAGGTGTTTATTTTTTGGTGGTATGTAAGAAGCTGACGGCATAGGTGCTGCGACATGCTCACCAGATGCCGGATGACTGTGATGACGAACATCGAATTTGCGGTACATAGAGAACAATAGCTGCATGGCAGGACTCGCTTACACGTGTCGATGCCATCACGAAAGTCCACGAGTAAGTCATCGAAGTGTTCAGTTTGATCACTATCGCTGCCATCGTCGCGGTCGATCCTCTCGAGTATATCGGCCAGGACCCGGACACACTCGCACCGGTGACTGCGGTCCTTGAAGAAGTCCGCAGAGACGGCATTGGGGTCGGCAGTCGGCGGGCGGCTCGTGATGAGGTCGTCCAAGACATGGTCAGCCGCACTCCCCGAGGCAGTGGACGACGATTGTAGTGGACTGGTGCCTTGAAGCTCGTCGAAGTGGGATAGAGAAGGAGGAGCATCTACATTCCCATCAATCCTGAACCCTAGGCTTTCGTCCTCTCTTGCATGAACTTGGTCCCAGTCATGGTGGTCGTCATAGAACAGGGGCAGCGTCATGGGAGACCAAAAGCCCATTTTGAGGTCCGCCGAGGGCAATGACTGGGACATGTCCATCGGCGCAGTAGTAGATGTTACCCCAGCCGCGGGACTGCAATCAAAGTTGCTTTCTATGTGCGGCCGCCTTACACGAGACTTTGAAGCAGGCCAAACTTTGGGAACTGTTGCTGATCGGCGGTGCTTCGAGTTTGACTCTGTGGAACCGGCAGACGACCTGTATGTGCATGTGGTGGACGTAACTTGACATCGTTGGCAGCCATAAAGGTCTCCGCTGCATTTGAGCTTTTGCCAAGTTTGCTTCATCAGTTACGGTTACGCGATGTGTCTGAGAATTTGACCTACCTTTTTATCTCGGCATTGATCACAGGCCTAGTTCCCATTTTCTTAGCATCTTTATTGATTGTGACTATGCTCTGCACGATGAAGGCCGACGGTTCGAGGACTGGTTTAACAAGTTACTCACTATCACGGTATAGTTGCGAGCGTCAACCCTACTATTGCCTGACAAGTCAACGTATTCCAGATTGTCCCTCGCGTCTTTATTGCAACGGAAAGCGCCAAACATGGCTTAGATTCAACGATGACGCATCTGCTGGTTGACTGATTTACACGGAAAAGGCGGGAGGAGTCAAGCAAAGGGAAGAAAAGCCCAAGAGCCAAAAGGAGTCAAAAGAAATAGGAGTGGGAGGCATCACGCATTGCAAGGTGACGCGGCTCCATGGTACTCATTTCAGTCATGCCGCTAAATAAGAGGGTTGACGGTAACCAGATGCGAACCCAGAGTTTGTTTCTGCAGTTACTGCACGCCTAGGGTCGTTTGCTGACTCCAACACTAAATGCCAATAGATTGGTTAGTGCCAACAAAACCTGCAGAGTCCCCAGTTTATCAAACGATTGGCATGAGTGTGCGGATGGACGATCACTTATTTTGTTGGGGCCGAAGAGGGTTATCCAAGTCATCAAACCGAGTGATTCGGCAAATCTGATGAGATTGATCAGGACCCTCGTCGTCGGCATTTGATCCCCAATCGCCGAAAGGACGCTTATCTACATAGCCACGGTTGCACAATGTGGAAAACATTTCATGCGGGGCTATATTGTCGTCACATGGAAGTTCCCGTCTGACATGCAGAAGCGTGAGGGTCAAAGCGTGTAGAGCAGAGCCTGACTCTTGGCCGTCTTTGCTTACAACAGCCGTGTTGGCCAAGTCCAGACCTCATCTAGCCGAGACGCGGCAAAAACGTCTCGCCTTCTTAAGCATCAATGTGCTTTTTGTCTGCGAACTGCGGAGTGAGTCAGACCTCCCTTGGGTGAGTCAAGGTGACCCTTTTGCGAGTCGTCCGTTTCTGGGAACTGCCGGGGGATAATTATGAAACATTGTATAATAATTCCCATAAATTTGTAAATATATGTAACTCGCGACAAGGCTGCCTTAACTCACTTAAGGAAGGTCTGACTTAAGTTTGCCACGTAATGTTGCCAGGGTTCAAATGTTCCGGTGCATATTCGATCCCCACCAAATTATATAGAATGTGCCGGCCCTAAATTTCCGGGTACTGCCCGGCACCTTTTGGCACCTTTTGGCACGGCCCGGCACCACCCGGCACCACCCGGCACTAGCTTTTAGCACCTTTGGCACCTTTGGCACCCCCCCGGCACCTCTGTTACGGTGCCCGCACGGCGCCCGCACCACTACAGGTCCCTATAGAGCCCCACTACTCACCCAGCTCGACATACCGATCAGGAAAGAATCCTTTCAAGGCCCCACTAGGGTGAACAGGACCGGTCCCCGGATACTGGGCACTGAATGAATGACCTCAATTGCTTCAAACACCGAGCCAGAATCCCGAAAGGCCGAACCGGTCTGGGACGAAGGCACTTATCGGGTCTAAGACAACAAGGTTTCTTGGCATAAAGTCTATTTGGTGACTCTGTTTATATCGAAGTCAGAACGTTGTTTGTGAAATGTCTAGCGTTTACAATTTCGTTGCCCGAGTTTAATCCTCTTTCTGCTGTTCTCTCCCTCCAATCATTTGACCTTATCTGAATATCAATATACCACCACGTTTGTTGTTTCCAATTACGAGCCAGACTCCAACAAATGGACGTCGACACGGAAGGAGCCAAAGCTCATCTTCGAGAGCACGGCTGGGTCAAGATTCCATCCATCCTTACCAAAGATGAGGCAGCTCACGCGCTGGGGCGGCTATGGGAAGCAAAGAAAACATCAGAGGCTAGCGGCGAGGAAACATTCCAACCCATTTTGGACCCTAATTCTTCTAATGTGCGCGTGTTTTATCTTCCGGAGCTCGATGAGTACTTCCGCGACATGCTTACGCATCCCACCGCCATAGAGTTGACAAAGTCCCTACTCGGCGAAAAGTTTCTCGTCAGTAATTTCTCGGCCAACATCGCGCGCCCCGGATCAGAGAGCATGGCACTGCATTCAGATCAGAGCATTGTCCTTCCCGAGCCCTGGCTGGATGTCTGGGCTGTTAACGTCATCTGGTGTTTGACAAAGGTCACTAAAGAAAACGGCGCAACATTATACATCCCCAGGTCTAACAAGTGGACTCGGTGGCAGGATGTTCCCGAAAACGCACCAGAATTTCTGGTACCATTCGAAGCAGATGCCGGTGATATAATTGTCCTAGATGGCCGCCTGTGGCACACATCAGGCAGCAACACGACAAAGAATGAGGACCGTGCTATTCTTTTTGCGTATTACTCCGCTCCTTATATGCGTCCACTGGTCAACTGGACTGCCAAATTGCCCAGCAAATTGCAGCAGACCCTGAGCCCGGAACTGAAGGAGCTGTTTGGCCTGGGGCATATTGGCTATGTTGTCAAAGGCGACTTAACATACATGGCCGCAAAGTACCCTGGAAAGTTGAATGGAGGACCTGCGAGCACTTGAGTCACTTAATGACCTCGGATGCGTTGGGGTTTCTATTCAGCGTGGCAGATAGTCTACAGTATCACGAGTAGCCTAACGTCTCTTTGATGTTCCGTCATTTCTCACCTCTATTGCACTTATTAATGACTTGAGTCTCTTGAGTGACCAAGCTGACGCAGCTGACATAACTGCAACCGCAAACACAACGCATAGGCTTTCAGTAAACGGGAGAGGTAAACCCAGGCTCATGCAACTCCATGATGTTCCCTTGTTTTACCACTGAGTTACTGACGACGACCCCCCACGATCGTCATCTGATCGTCTGTATCACACAATTAACGGGGCCTTGGGCACTGTTTGGGGATACGGAAGTTACTACAGAAGTCCTTGAATTCCTACAAAAGAGAGTAGTGGTGAGAGGTGCATTGTATGCTCGCGCTCTCTCATCTCTCACATCTCACGAATACCAACAACTGTAAGAGTCCTGGCTAGAGAGCATGCAAAAAAGCTTCCCATGTACTTGTACGATGGCCCAGGTCTCGCCACGAACAAGCCGTTTACTACTATGGTATCTACCAAGCTAAACTGTCAGTTGCCTTTCACGCCATCCAGGTAATATGGGGCCGGATCTTTGGACTGTGTGGCTACTGTTTTTGATACGACGAGCGCTTAACAAGCCCACAACTTGATAGCCCTATCGTTTTAATTCAACGCAATCATTGAACATCAATACAGTTATGGTGTAGAGTAACAAGTTTTTCTCATTCGTTTTCATGACATAAAACTAAGACTATACCACTCACGAGGTTAAACGATGTATTGTGGTAGAAACTCTATAACTGGTGACTTGCTCGTGCCCGCCTCACTTAGTTGGAACTCTCTCAGTCACTCTGCACCAGCTTAAGTTGGTGCTGGACGACCATGTAACGTCAGATACAATGTGGCTCTCTGACGTCGCAATGGAGTTTATTAAGTGTAGAATGTAGAGTTATAGTAATTATTCTTCTTGTCTCCCTCGTTGGGCTGGGGGGTAGGCAATAGCCGAATGTTACATACACTGGGTTTTTGTAAATTCACGACAGTTGTGCTATGAACCATGTGAGTGGGGTTGGGTTGCCACAGAAGAACACAACATTCAATCCACAAGCATCATCAATTCTGATTGCATAGCCAATTACATAACCCATCGTTCATTCAAGGTAACAGCCATTGCCCGGCAGGCAGGAGTCTTACAGCAAGTATTACGTTTCGTATCATTCCACTCTTTATGTAGCAAATCAAGAGTCTCTCGTTTTGTCCAAGCTGTCCCATGCAATCGTGCTGTGTGACCATACCTAGGCACAAGAGCTTGTTATAACCATGGTTTTTGGTTATAACCATAACCTTGCCGAGAATTTGGTTATATAGTTATATGATTATAACAAGTTACGGTTTTCACCTCATGGTTAAATGTGGTTACGGTTACAACAACCCAAATAAAAACCATATTTAACCACATGCCCAGGTATGCGTGTGACAGATTCCGTAGGTTCGCACAATGCGCAACCCTGGCAATGTGCACCGATGCCATGGTTCTACAACAAACTATGGTTTTCCGCACGAAATATACAAAAAGTGTGTGAATGTAGAGGAGTCCATCTAATAAATTCACCATGAGTATTCTTCTGCCCCAGATGAGTCGGGACAGTGCTCCTGGGAAGACGACGCAAACCACCCTCCCAGATAATGACTTTTGCATATATATGCAAAAGTCGTGGCACGGACCAGCTTTCACCAAGTTTGTCACGGGCTGGGCTAGGGGCCCGCGGAGTGTGCTTTGAAATACATTATGCGAGATATATTGAGCTTCTGATATGCATGTGGCCCACGCAATGTAACTGTAAGCCACCCTTTGAGCTTACATATGTAGTCAAGCTGCAAATGCAAAGTTCCCAATCAGGCGATTCGCATATTGGTGGGCCATTGGATTTCCCATGACGCGCACATCGGATATTTCCTTTTGTGTCAAAACCCATTTGCTGGCTAGGAAGGAATATGACAACCAGCCGAGGTTGGTTATTCCACCCGATGTCGATAAAAATGCATTTGGCGGGTCTTTGGATGGAGCAATACAAAGGTTGCGTCTCAACTTGACATCTGTTGAGCGAATTGATCTAGCCAGGCCCATTCGCAAATCGTCAGCAGCATTCTTGCTGTTCGCTCGCCAACCGCTATGGACCAACCCCCCGAACTGTTCCCGACCAATTACAAGCCCTCTATCCGCATTGCAGAGTTATCAGCCAACGCGCCGATAGAAGAGATTCTCTCCGTAATTGACCGTGACGGCGGCGTTATCATCAATGGCCTTGTTAGTTCCGAAGAGCTAGAGTCCATTGAGAAGGAGATTGAGATGTACACCAAGGCAGACCGGTCCGAAGATGAAGGTTTCTTCAAGGACTTGGTTCCACAGGAAACAATCCTAATCGGCGGTCTGGTTGGCAAATCCGATACAATGGCGAGAATTTGCGAGCATCCGGTTCTCGAAGAACTACGGACACACATCTTGACCGACGTTGGCACTAGAAGGGTTGAAAAGTATGATCTTCCGTATCATATCGACCCATTGCTCTCTGTGAGTTTGAGCTTTCGCATCCAATACGGCGCGCCACGACAGCGTCTTCACAGAGATGACGGAACACACCTTATTGAGCATGAGAGCAAGCCGTACAAGCTCAACAATGCCGCTCAATTTGGGTGCTTAATTGCAGGTGTCGAGACAACGCAGGAAAATGGTGCTACCATGTTTATCCCTGGCAGTCATCGTTGGGATGATAAAAGAGAGCCGCGGTTAGACGAGGTGACTTTTGCTGGTGCGTCTCTTTTTTTTTTCTCCTCTAATGTTCATTTGCTTTCTTCACGTATTGCTTTCTTCATTTCTGACAGAAACGTAGAGATGAAACCAGGCGCGGCACTCATTTTCCTTGCGTCTTGCTGGCATGGCGCCGGCCACAACAGCGTTCCGGGATTTACTCGCGTGCTTCACGGTTTATTCTTCTGTCGTGGCACGTACCGCACACAGGAGAACCAATTCTTGGCTATCCCACGCAGCAAAGCACTGTCGATGAGTCCCAAGATGCTCAATCTCCTCGGGTACAAACAACCTGGCGCAGCGCTTGGAATGGTGGAAAATGCAGATCCTATGTTGGATCTGGAGCATTTCCTTGAAGAAGCCAATCTGTAGGATAGTACTCTGTTTGCCATAGATATGTCGAATTAAACAGACCAAATTGCCGTGTTGTAGCGGCTTTGTGTGTCTTGGTACGACGATAGCCATCCCGTTAGGACTGTATTACAATGGCATCTCCCGATTCTCAGGTGCATATAACTTTTACATCTTAATGTTTTGGACAGACTGGGTATGCGTTTGTTTCGGCCCTTTTGCAGGTACTGCGTTGACCTCTAGGTTTAAAACTTTAATGTTGTTCTCCCGGTGGCAGTGAAGGCTTCACTGAACAAAGTCAAAATGGTGGAGTAACTAGCACTTAAATAGACAACCACGAACTGCTGGTTTTATATTACATGCATACGGAGTATATTAGTTGTCAAACACGTGAAAGCACTACTACGGTCCCATTGCATGACGTGTGGTCAGCTGTCAGGGCTTACAATCAAGGTACAAGAAGTATAGCGATTACAGGAATCGACTAAAGCACCATTGGAGGAAGTGTAGCATTCCATCTGGCCTTGTGTAACCGAATTACGTGATATCAGCTCTCCGGAAGCAACTACGCCTTTGGTCAGCGAAAGGGTTCAGACGCAACGTCGTTTTGCTGTTGTTTTGGTGCATGTGGAAATTTTCATACTCTCGGCAAGATACCGCTCTTCCGAGAAACTCTTATACGCCACAGGTACCGTGCTTATGAGCCGCATGCAGTTATATTGTGAAGTCTGGTACAGATTTCGTGGACGGCATGGGTAATAAATGTAACCCCACGGGTAAACTTTCACAAAGTCTTACCTCCCGGGATCTTATCAGCTGCATTTTATCGCCTGCTACTGGATTGGACGACATCTGCCAGGATAATTTGGGCCCTGCGTACGTTCCAGATGTCCCTTACTTAGTGTGTGCCCACAGCACAGCCAAGAAATCGCCTTTAACTGTCGGCCGATTCGGCCTACCTTGCCGTTTAGACAACCAACGAGAGATGTATTCAATCAAGGTCGAGCCTCGCCGCTAACGGATGAGTTCCGAGTGTCCCCGCAACCCTTGTCGTGATATCTGGGCGCGTGGCGCCGAGTTCGTGGACATGTCTGTTAGATCCATCTTTATTCTACCGTCTGGTCTCGACCTTTGCTGGAGACTGGCCTGCATATAGATCCGAGGCATCGGCGCCATCAACACTTCGGACATGTCCAGTTAAGGATGCATGCATGGGGGCTGAGCCGGCTAAGCATGTGTACCTCTTCAGATCAAGTTAGTACATGTACTGTGATCCGCTTGGCAGAGGTACAGGTGGAGAGCTTGAGAGGGGGATTACATGTAGGGCTCAATGTTCCATGTCATCATTACATATGTGACCCGTCCAAAGTCAGCATATGTTCGCATGAGGGCGAACTGTCTCATCACCCAGTCCCCACCTCTTACGCCAAGTCTTGCAGGGTCTAACGGAAGTAAGAGCAGTGTAACCCTTTTCCTGTCAGCTCTCAGTGTGGCGATACTTTTTGCGGCGCGTGGTCAACGATGGTCAGTGACGGCACTTGCCAATGTCCCTCCCATCCAGACATTAAGCAACATATACGACACAAAAAAGGTACACTCGTGTTTTACGAATGTTACACGTCTACAGTTCTCCAGTTAACGGCTTGCTACGTCTAGGGTACACAGGCCCTGATTGAGACGCGATTAAGAACTCGGGTGACTGCAGCCAATATAACATCTTGTTTTCTTGGAAATTAGACTCGGTTTCAAGCAGAGAAGCACGGGAGCCCCTGCTCTGCCGGTGTCAGCTTCGGGAACCATGAACATGCTCATTCATGACCTGGGTCTTTCTCGCCGCGCATGCGACCGGTGTCACGGGCAGAAACTTCGGTGCAGACGGGAAAACAACAATGATGGCTGTGTGCGTTGCGTGAGAGCCGGTGTTCAGTGTACGCCAAGGCAAGTGAGATCTCGTCATCGCGCCCGTTCTCACGCAGCGCAACAGGCGTCGGTACGCCGGCCCAACGTCATACCGCCCTTAGGTAAAAGCCTATCCTGTTAAAATAGTGATGTGAGAAAACTAGAGTGACTAATGGTACAATACAGCAACCCCAGAAACTGAGCAAACAAACAAAGACGCTTTAGAGCACTTTGGTGTTTCTCCTTCCAGCTTACTTGATATTCCGTCTGACATGGTCTTGGCTCAGGATTCTTCATCCCTAGAGTCAGAAATTGGTCAGCCCTTGGAGGACCGTTATTGGCAGTCAGGAGAGGAACTTGGCGCCATTCAGACTAGCCACTCTGGCCAAACGTTTTCCCAGGAATCTCGGAGTCATAGTGTTGAGCGTTCTGAGCAAGAACAACGAAGTGAGCTTCACGATACGTCACATACCTCTTACTTGTTGTCGCCTTTCACATCTACTTTGTTGCCCCGCTACTCAGAAGGTCCTTCAAAGTGCCTCGGACGCCGGCTATCATTTACGAGGAATATAACGCCGGAACATTCACGCCGTCAATCTCGGGATGACGCTACAGCCCATATCTTGAGCTTCAATCAACAAGAGGCATCTGCTTTCGTCACTGGCAGTGACGATACTGGCACTGATCTGGCTTATGCGCAAGCAGTGTCCAGCCGACGGCAGTCTATTGCTAGCCATATTCACGGCTCATGCAATACGTCGCAGCAAACTAAACAGCCGGTTCTTGAATCTGCGAAGACGTCATGGATCCGAAAACTGTCGGATATCAATCTGGAGCTTCATCAACATATGTTGTCGATTCCTCCCATCGGAGCAAGGCAAAGCGTGTGGACAAGTAACGACCCAAATTCCATCCAGCACAAGAAGGAACTCGCAGTAGACCGTACATTTAAACTCGCCAACAAATACACGGAAATCTTGAATGAAATTGTTTCTCGATTCAAGTCGTGCCAGGCCTATACCAGGCCAACAACGGACTCTCTGGCGTTAGACCAACCTTCACAGCTTCTTGTGTTATGCAGCTACCTGTGTCTTGTCGAGTTGTTCGACAAGGCCTTGCAGCACATCAAAAGATGGACCGAGGTTCGGTTGAAAATGGGTCTGTCTGCTTCCGATCATTTTCCAATTCATCTACCAGGTTTGGCGATCGGCTCCTTCAAATTACCCACATCCTCGTCGATACAGCCGCTCATTCTAACGTGCATGATTGAGGCGACGATACGGCACATGCACAGTTTAGTTGGCGATATGATGACGCCTTCAAATACTGAGAGCTGGAAAGAAAGAAATCCTACTACAGCTACTGCTGAGCAAGACACCAGTGCTAGGGGTGAACTCAGCAGCGTGGCTAAAGTAACGCTACAAGCAATAAGAGCCAAGGAAGATTCTACAACAGAGCTCATCCAACAAACCTGGAAACTTGCTCTCCGATGTGATGTCCCTTGAAACTTCCATCTCAAATAGGCCTCGGGCAGAAAGAAAAATACTATCTGAAGACTGAGATATAGGCAGGGTTGAGCCTACAATTGAACCTGCTGTTACTGTCACGTTATGAGACTTATTGTTAACTAAGCTTACTTCTTAAATAAAAATAATTTATCCTTTAAAAGGGTTTATATCTTTTATCTTTAGTTTAAAAGACTTCCCAGCCACCTGATAAAATCAGGGTGGCTGGCCAGCCTCTCAACTACTAATATCGATAATTTTATGACATCTAGCAATTACGTCAAGTCTGCTTGTTCAACTAACAGAGGAAGCCGTATCCGACAGTTACGAGCAGGCTACAGAGTCGTCGAATGAACTGCTCCTCAACTTACGTTCCGTTTATGGGGCAACATTTAACTCCTTAAATGTTGGATACATAGGCTTACCATCATCACCAACGTTCACCACCCTCCCTTCGCTTACATACGTCTCTATCCAGCCGATACTAATCTCCGCACGGATGCCACTTATATATGGCTCCTCTTCGGCCTGGAGTGCTTGAAAGTCGGGATCAGACGCTCCCTTATAAAACGTCTCCATGTCTCTGAACAGGAACTCGACTTGAGCATCGTAGTCACGGACAACCCATGGGCTTCCGCGTTTCGCATTGAGCTCAGCCGTGGCATTGCGAAAAGACTTGGGAGCAAAGTACTTGACAGAAACGTTATTGGCTGGTTCTAAGAAACTTGTGCCATTGTATGGCAATAGGATAATGGGTCTCTTTTAGTGATAAATAGAAGACTTACTATAGAGAATCCTTCGATGCCATTTTTTGCGTGAAGCTTTGCTGCTTGTGTAGCGTGTTTCTCGGTGACCCAGTGATGGAAGTCTTCCTCACTGACATTCGGCTGACGGTAATGTGCCACGGTCATCCTCAAAAGGCGTCTCTTCTGTATGGGTTCAACTGGCTCGGCCATGGTTGCAAACAAGTCCAAGAGAATTGTGAAACTACGTCGATCCCGTGTTTTGTGTGTACAGCTTTGTGTATATGCAATTCTTGGAGGACCATGGCGGTTTTTAGGAAGACCTTGCGAACTTATGCTTTGTTCAGCGTACCATTTGCGACCCTGGGCCGATAATCCGGGTACCGAAATTCGTAAATTATATCCTGCTATCACCGACTTGTGGAGGCTTCGGTGAGTCCTACCCTAATGCCCTATTTGCCCTTCCATGCAGCATAATCCCCCCTCATTCTCCAGATTATTGCAGGTGCCTCAGAGCCGGTCAACCGAACGGCGATGTTCTCTTGGTGCAGACAAGCTTACAGAGTCATTCCTTTTCATACTTTGGTCCCCCTGAGTTCTCGGATGCATAGTCTGAATAGCCGAAATGCATCATCATGAAAGTACCATGGAAGAGAATTTCAGAAGGGCGATACTATGTAGTCAAATTGTATTTGTATATGGGCCTCGTTCGTGCCTGTAGTTGTTGCAGTATTCAAGGCTCATGTATTGTTCGATGATAGTGTTCGTTCATTGCATTGCATGGCGCACTAAATGCGGATGGATTTATTGAAGCATACAAGTGCGTTAGGACTTTTACTGGCCTTAATTCAAAACATGTCCATACCAGTCGCCCCTAAAGTAAGCTCGTATTCTTAGCTGTGTTCTTGACAAGCGACCCCAAATCTGATGTTGCATTCAATGTTTCCCTCCGAATCCCAAATTTCATGTCCAGCCATTGGAATGTTCTCTGCGCTGAATAGCCGAAAGCACCGATCTTTGCCTGTAACCCTCCGTAGGCTATGTCATTAGCAATCCACTTTTCCTTGTCCACGCCATCCTTAAGGCTTGTCAAGCAGTCATAGATCTTGTCTGTTGTAGTCGCCGGATCAAAGTACCAGCTTGCTCCTGCGCCAGTTACCAAAGTAGGACATTTCACATCAGCTAGATACTCTGTCCCGTCTGGCTTGAGCAGCGTGTAGTCGCCAAAACTCCGCATAATCTCGGCCTCAGTTGTACTGTTTGTTGCCCACTTCAGGTGATTAAATTCCCATCTTGCCTGGAAGTCAAGCCGCTGCAGAAAACCCAGGATTGCATTGAATGTTCTGTCAGACAGCCAGCCTTTCATGAAGCCGTTGAACAGCGGTCCTGGCATTCTGCCACCGACAAAACTTGCCAAACTGTAGAACCCGTCGACACTGATGCAGGCTTTGATACGCGGGTCCACGGCCGCGCGCAAGGCAAAATAGCCACCCATGGATGCTCCGGTAACAGCAATGTTGTCAAGGTCGAGTTCAAGATCTGGATGACTCGCCGCAAAGTCAAAGAGGTGGTTCAACACCGCACCTGTGACCACTTCCCAGTCTGGGCGCATAGGTAACTTATCACGGCGGAGAACAATACCCTGACCTGGTCCTTCGAATGTTACGACTGCATACCCAATGTCAGGACCAAACGCAGGATTTACAAAGTATATCTCCTCTTGCGTGGAATCACCTCCGCCAGAATTCAACAGAATAGGGATCTTGCGGCCGGGGATTCGCCTGGAGGCTTCTGGCAAGTAGAGGTAACCTGGCAATTTGATGCCATTTTCGAACGGAATCTCTAGAAAGAACGTCTTGCCAGCGCGGTATTGGACGCCCTTTCGAAAGTTCCCAATGGCGCGCTCAAGAGTGGCAAGAACCCGCCGGTCTTGGCCAATCTTCCCCTCGTTCAGCATGAACTGAGCCGCACGCAGGTAGTTGGATGACCTCAAATAAGCACGACGTGCAGATACTACGTCTCCTGCTTGCTCGGCTTCCTTTGCGATACATTCAGCTTTGTTGCCAGCTTCAAGGAATGCGTTGAACCACGATTCCGGATCCAGGTCCCTAATCTTGGCAGCTGCTTCAAGTGCCTCTCCTATCTCGGCACCTTCGTGCGGCGCCATGGCTAGGAGGCGAAGATACTCGAAGTTGAAAAAGGCCGACTTGAAGAATGTGTGCATGGCCACCATGATTGTAAAGTGCCCTGTGACAAAGTCACCTTACGACACTCCTAATAAAGCTACTAAGTAGCACTGATAGTTAATGACTTGCTATTTCAGCTCGGGTCTATGTTGTGTAAACCACGAAACTGGTCGAGAACTTCTGAGAGCCACGGCGGGACGGCCTACCTAGGTGCACTGACTTTTCAGTGTGCGGAGATACTGCTCACGGAGAATTGCCAAAAAAAAATTGAGTGATAAACTATGCTAGCGAGCTCTTCGCATCAGAAACTGGCCACTGACCTCGGATTGTAATGGGCTCTGCAATGGTAGCAAAGACGATGTGATAGCAGATGATTGTCTACCATCTATTTTTACGGCTCCTTTACCTAATTCAAATACGAATCCGGTAGTATTAGCAGCAGGTTGAATTCGCGGGGTATGCCAGCCGGCCACGGACTCTGACTACGAATCTTGGTAGGAAAAATTGTCATATTTTTGCTAGGCTAAGCCTCTTAAGGCGTTGAATGTTGATTCGGCAATGTCTTCTCTTGGGCTACGCCGATTCGGCGTACTCTATGAATACGTTGAATAGTGCTGATGGTCGGACCCTTCAAACTGGCAAATCGTTGCATACGATAACACGACATATGGTTCATGTAAGGCGACTGTATGGATTTATTTAATCGGTTCGGTTCTATGCAAATTCCAGTTGCTCTACTGTAAATACCCGAAGTTAGTTGCTGCTTTGTCCGTTCTACGGGCCATTTTCGGTATATGGTACGGTAGCTGTCCAAGCCTAGCAATTCCATGTCCCTTTTTGGCATTTCGATTCTGGCTATAGGTTAGCTACATCCCTGTCTATTCGTTCGGGATGTGGGTCTTGCGCCACTCGGGAATTGGCTTGTGCCGTTATACTACCGCATTGGGGTATCCAGCCCGGTGTCCCAATCGAGGCATCGGCTCCATGTCAGCGGCTGCCGAAAGCGCGGACCGTGTACATCATGGCCCATGCTATACACTGGACACTGATACGGAATGTCAAGTGTATGGTATTATAGTTAACTTCCCTTGTGTGCGTTAATGTCGAAAAGCGGTGTCGTTCGAATTCAACGCTGTATGCCGCTCAGTTGAGCTGCAGTCGAACCGCAGTTGGCGAACCACCAAAGACACAAGCTACCCTTGCTACCACCTCACCTAGACTCAGACACCATGGCCTATACACATTCGCCAAAAGAACCCATAGCTATTATTGGAAGCGGATGTCGATTTCCTGGGGATGCAACATCGCCCTCCAAGTTGTGGGACTTGCTGCGATCCCCTCGAGACCTAACGAAACCTATTCCCGCTGAATCACGTTTCAACGCTGAGGGCTTTTACCACCCAAAGGGCAAGCGCCACGGAGCCAGCAATGTCACGAAGTCGTACTTTATTGAAGAAGACCCACGGTTCTTTGACTCTGGATTCTTTAGCATTGCGCCTCGTGAGGCCGAGGCCATCGATCCCCAGCAGCGGCTCCTGCTGGAGACCGTTTATGAGGCTATGGAAAATGCAGGACTCACACTACAGGGACTCAGAGGAAGCCAGACATCTGCCTATGTAGGCGCCATGTCAGCTGATTATACGGATACTCAGATGCGAGACCTGGAGAATTTATCCCAGTACATGATAACAGGGACATCGCGCGCTCTGCTCTCCAACCGCCTGTCTTACTTTTTCGACTGGAAGGGTCCATCAATCTCAGTCGATACTGCATGTTCTTCCAGCCTGGCGGCTGTCCACCTTGGTGTGCAGAGTTTGCGAAACGGCGAATGTACGACTTCGTGTGTCGCAGGGTCCAACTTGATTCTAGGACCTGATGCGTATCTTGCCGCCACAAGTCTGCATTTGCTCTCACCTTCAGGGAGGTCTCAAATGTGGGATAAGGGCGCAGATGGGTATGCCCGAGGTGAGGGCGTGTGCGCCTTCTTTATGAAGACGCTGTCCCAAGCTCTTAGAGACGGGGATCGGATAGATGCACTCATCCGAGAATCGTGTATAAACCAGGACGGTCGCACCAAGGGCATTACACTCCCCAGTGCAGAGGCACAGGCCGCATTGATTAGAACGACCTATAGGAATGCTGGACTGGACATTTTGAGAAACGAGGACCGACCGCAATACGTTGAAGCACACGGTGAGTTCCAACCTGCTTCGTGGACCTGCCCTCGGTGACACTGGTGCGCAAAACCACGGCGCAATAATATGGCTAACTAGTTCTCAAATGCAGGTACTGGTACACAAGCTGGAGACCCTAGAGAGGCGTCAGCCATCAGCCAAACGTTTTTCCCGCCTGACCAAGAGCTTGGAAATAAGCCCAATATAGTCGTAGGGTCGGTTAAGACGATAATTGGGCACACAGAAGGATGTACGTTGTTCATTTCTGTTACATATAGGGCAAGCTAACCTTGGAGAATATAGGCGCTGGTATCGCCGGGCTTTTGAAGGTTCTGCTGGCCATGAGACATAAGACTATTCCTCCCAACCAACATCTTCGTCATCTCAACCCGAGCGTGGAGCCTTTTTACAAGAACCTTGGAATACCTACAACTCTACTAGATTGGCCTCACGTTCCCTTTGATCACCCACTTCGGGCGAGTATAAATGGCTTCGGATCTGGCGGCACCAATTGTCATGCAATCATGGAAAGCTATGTTCCCGAAATCCATGATCATGGGCCATGGGGAAGGCCGGAAGCACTCCGCAATGTTCAAGCATCTCCGCTACCAGATGTTGACTTCACTCCAACTCCCCTTATTTTCTCTGCTGCCTCGGAATCAGCCTTGGTAGCAATGTTGGAGAAATATGCGCGGTATCTAGAAAATACTGATGTGCCTATCCAACGCCTGGCGAAGACCCTCTACTCGCACCGCTCAACCCTTGGTGTAAGAGTGATTTTCCCCACGACCTCGCGACTAGAGTTACTTGAGGAAATAAAGAAAAAACTCTCTAAAGTCCGCGACAGTCCCGGTACGGAAATTGGCACTCGGTCCTCCGTCATAGAATTCGATGAGAACAGACGCCCCCGAATCCTGGGCATATTTACTGGCCAAGGAGCACAATGGCCGGGCATGGGACAAACTTTAATGAAAAGATGTGCATTGTTCAGGACAACAATCGAGAACATGGAACAGGCACTGGCTCTGCTTCCAGACCCGCCAGAGTGGTCTCTCAAGAAAGAGATCATGGCACCTCCCGCAGAGTCTCGATTAGGAGAAGCTGAAATCTCCCTCCCTGTATGTGCAGCGGTCCAGGTAGGGCTTGTTCGTCTGCTTTCTCAAGCGGGCATAAGTTTTCATAGTGTGGTCGGTCATTCAGGCGGAGAAATCGGGGCTGCGTATGCGGCTGGTAAAATCTCTGAGAATGACGCGGTAATCATTGCATATTACCGCGGTGTTTATGCAAAACTCGCCATCGGTGCAGATGGGAAGAAGGGCGCAATGATTGCGGTTGGGTTTGGTTATGAGGAGGGCCTGAATTTCTGTTCAAACCCGAAGATGAAGGATCGCCTGACCATAGCCGCCAGCAACTCGCCTAAAAGTATTACGCTTTCTGGTAACGAAGACGCTGTCATTGAAGCAAAGGAGATGCTTGATAATGAAGGCCTCTTCAATCGCGTGCTAAAGTTGGACACAGCCTACCATTCGTCACATATGTATCCTTGTGCCGCGCCCTATCTCGCTGCACTCCAACGCTGCGACATTAAGGTAGGCAAAAGCAGCGCAACTACTGCCTGGGTATCAAGTGTATACGAAGACAACAGGACAATTACTGATGATCAAGACGCCGACATGAAGGCAATATACTGGAAAGACAACTTGATCGGAAGGGTGTTGTTTTCCCAAGCCCTTGAATGCGCATTGGATGATGACAGAGGGGCTTTTGATCTTGCTTTAGAGGTTGGACCCCATCCAGCTTTGAGAGGTCCATCACTTGAGACTATTAGATCCAAGCTTGGATCCGAAATCCCTTATGCCGGTGTCTTGGACCGGAAGTCGGACGATGTCACAGCACTGAGCAGAGCTCTTGGCTTTGTATGGACGCACCTGGGATCTGACTGTGTGAACTTCGATGACTATTCATCTGCCTTTGACGAAAGAAATAGTCATATTGACAAGACGCCTCTGGCAAACCTACCAACATATCCGTGGGATCACAAGTCGATCTTGTGGCGAGAGTCTAGACTCAACAGGCAGGTCCGACATAGAAGTGACCGGCCTCATGAGCTGCTTGGCAACAGGACTCCAGATGACACAGAATACGAGCCAAGATGGCGGAATTTCTTCAAGCTAGAGGAGATGCCCTGGCTGCGAGACCATTGTATACAAAACCAAATTATAGTCCCCGCAGCCACATACTGCGTGATGGCCCTAGAGGCTGCTAGGTTTCTTGGTAGGGGAAAGCATGTGGTAAACATCGAGCTTTCCAATATCGCCATCCTGCGGCCAATCGTCTTGGATGAATCCTCTGGGGGAACCGAGACCTTGCTATCTCTGCGCAGCGATCTCGACTCCAACAAGGGAAAAAGCGATGTCATTCACGCTGAGTTCAGTCTCAGCGCGGGTACCGTGGAGGATGGACACTTGAGGACTGCCGCCTCAGGAGAAATACGGGTCTTTCTGGCAAACGATGGGGCTGACTACTCGACCTTCTTTCCTCTGAGATCGGAGAAGACGCAGTCTGAACTGTTGCCAGTCAATGTCAACCGGTTCTACGAGTCGCTAAGTCAAATGGGGTTGGGCTATACCGGCCCGTTCAGGGCGATGACTTCCATGAGGAGACAGATGGATACGGCATCCTCCGTCGTCGAGATTGATGAAGACGTGGGAAGGTCAATCCCAGTTCACCCGACTTGGCTTGATGTATGCTTTCAGACGTTTCTAGCTGCCTTTGCCGCTCCTCGAGATGCTTCACTATGGACAGCATTTATGCCCACAACAATCGGCCGCATGGCATTTTCTCCTGCTACAAGGGCCACCCCCAACGGACCA